TATGGTCAGGGCCACAGAGGTATTTCATCGGGGGACGCTTTTAAGGCACAATCGCAAACCCTTCGAAAACAGACGCAACCCTGCTGAAAGGAAATCCGCACAGTAGTCACCGTCACTTAAAGAGCGGTGCCCTTGCCTCCACTCAACTTTGGTCTTCCCGTAGACGTTAAACCAACTACCATATCTTGAGACCCCAAAATAATAACCCTACATATTATAGCAGTTTCCATTTTCTGTTCCATTATCCCAATACATCCCCAATATAACCGTATCTTCCCCACACCATGCACCAATTTCTGACGCGAAGCTGTAGTGAAAAAGCTCTCCTCGGCGCTCCAGCACTGGGCTGCGCCACTCCTGGCCCACATAGGATTTGGGGTTTGGGGTTTAGGATTCAGGATTTAGGGTTTTAGGGTTTAGGGTTTTAGGATTCAGGGTTTAGGGTTTTAGGGGGTTTAGAGTTTTAAAGTTTAGGGTTTAGGGTTTAAGGATTCAGGGTTTAAGGTTTTAGGGGGTTTAGGGTTTTAAGGTTTAGGGTTTAGGGTTTTAGGATTCAGGGTTTTAGTTTTTTTTAATCGCCCCTTTTACCCGTGGCACACCGGTAAAGCTCCCAAAGAAGCGGGCTGGTGGCCTCCAGGAAAAGCCCTGCTGCCAGCACTCAAACCGTCATGAGGTGCGTAGCCTCAAATGCTTCAAGGACCTCTGGCCCATAGTCCCTCAAGACCCTTGCGTTAGTCAGCACGCCCGTGGCCCAAAAGCGATACGCACGCCGTCCCTCAGCACTACCTAGGAACTCCACAATGTCATCGACCGGGTTTTAGGGTTTAGGGTTTAGGGCTTTAGGATTTAGGGTTTGGGGTTTAGAGTTTAGGATTCAGGGTTTAGGGTTGGTGTGTTTTGGCGCTTGGGTTTGGTGTTTAGGGCTTGGATTCTTAACAGCCCCTAGGGATTCAGGGATCGGGACACGTGTCAAACAAGGGCACCTAGACTTTTTCCATGCATCCGAGCAAACATGACACATGATACTCATTTAGTCCCCCCTTACGTAAATAGAATATGAGGTATGTGGGGATATTATCGTGGCCTGGGGGATATTCTATCTACTTAAGGCAGACTATTATGTCCTTGAATGTCGCCCGAAACCGTGAACCCCACAGCTTTCGGGCTGCCTCCTTTAAAAAACGTCTACAAAGCTTGAGACCTGAGCCTTAATCCCGAGCATTCTATTAGGTTTTTGGCACTTGCATAGCCATACAGCCTCGCAAGGTATATTAGGGTTTAGACTTTCCGGTCAGGGGCTGGTGGCTTCCTGCTTTTCAAAATTTCTCTGCTGGGGGGAATTCAAAGATGCAGGCTTCAGGCAGGTCTTTCTCACCTGGGCAGTGTTCTCCAGATGAGCTCATTTAAGGTTTCGGATCGCCCCCCTTTGGGAATGACAACTTATGGTTCTTCATACAAGGGGCAAGAGAGATCCGTTGCCTTCCGATCCTCGACCAAGTTCCGCAACCACCAGACCATGAACCCCACCCCCGCCTAGGTAGGCATGGTACTGAAACGTGTGTGTGTGTGTGTGTGTGTGTGTGTACCGTTCTAGACCATGAACGCAGGGGGTCACTCCCAACCACATGCAGTTGCAGTTTTACATGTGATTTTCAAGCAGGGGGCAGTGGCCCACTCAAGAGCCCACTGCCAACGAAGCTGCTCTTGAGTTGGGAGGATATCCAGGCTGATCACCTGGACGTACCTGCAAAGACC